GGGAGGGAGGGAGGGAGGAGGAGGAGGAGGTTAGTTGGGAGCCTTTGGGGTTGGGTGCCTCTTTTGGCTGTCCCAGGGCGTTCCTGGCTTGTCTGACGCTGTCGGATGCCGTCTTGGGGGCCTGTCTGGGTCGTCTTGGGGCCTTCTTGGGGCAGATCAGGGGTTCTTCGAGGCCATCTTGGGCGTCTTGGAGGCATCTTGGGCCGTCTTGGGGCCCTCTTGGGGCCGTCTTGGGGGCCTTTTGGGCCGTCGGCCATCTTGAGGCCATCTTGAGGCCATCTCAGGCCGTCTTGGGTGCATCTTGGGCCGTCTTGGAGGCATCTTGGGGCCATCTTAGCCGTCTTGGAGGCCATTTTGGCCGTCTTGGAGGCCTCTTGGGCCCTCTTGGGGCCGTCTTGGGGGCCTCTTGGGCCGTCATGGGACTATCTTGGAGGCCTCGTGGGCGATCTTGGGGGCCTCTTGGGTCGTCTTGAGCAGTCGGAATGCCGAGAAGAAGCAAATGCCAACATCCTTCAAAAGCCAATGGAACATCAATGATTCTTAGGCTTACGCCACACCGCCGACCCCTTGTTTATGCCAATCTGGGGGTAGTAGAAGCTGCGAAGGGGTGAAAAGGCGAGTGATATTTGTTTGGTGTCTGTTCGCCGCCACCGCCAGAGGGTCTCGGGCAGTTCCGCGGGGGGGTCCGAGCGGACGGCGACACCGCGGGCGGTCGTGGTCTCATCTGGGGCCATCTGAGAGGCATAATGGAGCCAGGTTGGGCTCGGGAATGTCTTCGAGCCGTTTCGGTAGCGGTCGGGAGTTTTTTGGGGGGACTGCCCAGGAGTCATGATGGGTCAACTTGGCCATGTGCGAGGCCACGGCGCGTGCAAAGGGTGTGCCGGCATGGGGCCTATGGCAGGCAGTTTGGAACCACTTGGGGGCCCAGGTGGAGGAAAAGGAGGAGGAGGAGAAGGGGGACACGGAGAAACGGCTCTGGGTTATGGGTTATGGGTGAGAGGCTTCCTGTATGTGTATCGGGATCTCGCGGATTGCTTCTCGGGGGCCTCTGGAAGCGAGTTTTGGAGCCACTTGGGGGCCGTTTCGGAGCCTCTGGGGTGCTTCTTGGGGGTTCCTTGGGGCGTCTGGGCGGCCTCGTGAGGGCCTCTGGGGGCCTCTTGGGGCACTCTTGGGGCCCCCTGGGGCTCCTGGGGGCAGAAAGCTAGAGTTTCAACATGTTTGGTCGCCCTCTTGGGCCCCTCTTGGTGCCGTCTTGGAGCCCTCTTGGGCCGTCTTGGGGACCTCTTGGGCCGTGTTGGGGCCGTCTTGGGCCGTCTGGAGGCCGTCTTGGGGGCCTCTTGGGCCATCTTGGGGCTGTCTTTGGGGCCTCTTTGGCCGTCTTGGAGCGTCGGGAAGCCGAAAAGGCGGAAAAGCAAAAAACATCGAAAAACACTATGGAAAATCAACAATTTTAGACTCTTGGGGCCCTCTTGGGAGGCTTGTTTGGGACCTCGGGGGCCGTCTTGGAGACCTCTTGGCCCGTCTTGGGGCCATCTTGGGCGTCTTGGAGCGGTCGTTTGGCGTCTCGGGGCCTTCGTGGGCCGTCTTGGAGGCCTCTTGGGGGCTTCTTGGCCCGTCTTGAGGCCCTCTTGGGCCCGGAAAAGCCCCGTGAGTCGCTCGTCCCGGACCCCCCCCGCTCGCGCCGGACCCCCCCCCCCTCCAAATCGACCGGACCGGGCTCCCGGGGGAGGGGTTTGGGGAGGGGGAAGCATCTCACACGCCGATGATCCCCAAGGGGTCGGCGGATTTTGGTCTCTTCGGGTCCTCCTGGAGGACCTCTTGGAGGCCTCTTGAGCCTTCTTGGAGGCTCTTGGGGGCCTCTTGGGCCGTCTTAGGCCATCTCGAGGCCATCTCAGGCCGTCTTGGATGCATCTTGGGCCGCCTTGGAGGCATCTTGGGGTCATCTTAGCCGTCTTGGAGGCGATCGTGGCCATCTTTGAGGCCTCTTGGGGCTCTCTTGGGGCCGTTTTGGGGGCCTCTTGGGCCGTCATGGGGCCATCTTGGAGGCCTCGTGGGCGATCTTGGGGCGATCTTTGGGGCCTCTTGGGCCGTCTTGAGCCATCGGAATGCCCAGAAGGAGCAAATGCCAACATTCTTCAAAAGCCAATGGAAAATCAATGATTTTGGTCTCTTCGGGTCCTCCTGGAGGACCTCTTGGAGGCCTCTTGAGCCTTCTTGGAGGCTCTTGGGGGCCTCTTGGGCCGTCTTAGGCCATCTCGAGGCCATCTTAGGCCGTCTTGGACGCATCTTGGGCCGCCTTGGAGGCCATCTTCTTAGGGGGACGCATCTTGGAGGCATCTTGGGGTCATCTTAGCCGTCTTGGAGGCGATCGTGGCCATCTTGGAGTCCTCTTGGGGCCCTCTTGGGGCCGTTTTGGGGGCCTCTTGGGCCGTCATGGGGCCATCTTGGAGGCCTCGTGGGCGATCTTAGGGCGATCTTTGGGGCCTCTTGGGCCGTCTTGAGCCGTCGGAATGCAGAGAAGAACTAAATGCCAAACTCCTTCAAAAACCTATTGACAATCACTGAATTGGGTCTCTTCGGGTCCTCCAGGAGGACCTCTTGGAGGCCTCTTGGGTCGTGTTGGGCCGTCTTGGAGGCTTCTTGGGCGAACTTGGAGGTATCTCGGACTCTCTTGGGCCGTCTTGGAGGCCGTGTCGGACCATCTCGGGCCGACTTGGAGGCCATCTTGGACAATTTTGGAGGCCATCTTGGGCCAACGTGGCCAGCTTGGAGGCCATCTTGAGCCGTCTTGGAGGCAACATTGGGGATTGAGCTCCCTTCCGGGACCCCGGCGGGACGGGCCGAAGCCCCAGGGGGAGTCTTTTTGGAAAAGAACCAAAACCAAAACCGACAGGATCTAGCACGCCAGGCACCCCTGTGATGAATCAACAGGGGGCGGCGGATCGAACACGCCTACGGCGAATCACCGCCGCCACCTTCCCTTGTGGAAGCGCCTATGTGGCCGAACGTTTGTGGCCAGAGCCCTGCCAAGCTATCGGAACATGTGTTCCCCGAATCGGTTTGGAAAGCCTTCGGGGAACACATGGGGGAGGAACAGGAAGAGGAGGAGAGGGAGGTACAATGAGAACGGAGGAGGAGGAGGAGGCCTCTTGGAGACCATCTTCAGCCACATTAGCCGTCTTGGAGGTGTCTTGGGGCAGCCTTGGGACCATCTTAGCCGTCTTGTAGGGAGCTTTCGTGGACCTTGAGGTCTTTTTATGACCTCTGCGTATCTGTTGAAGCCCTCTTTGGGCCGTCTTCGGGGCTTGTTGCGCCATCAAGGGACCATCTTTGATGCCTCCTGGGCAATCTTGGGGCGATCTTGGAGATATATATTGGGCCGTCTTGGGCTGTCGGAAGGCCCAACATAAACACATCCCAAAGTCTATCAAAACCCGTGGGACAACCAATGGTTTTGGCCTCTTCGGACTCTCCTGGAGAACGTCTTGGCGCCTCTTGGGGCATCTTCGAGGCATCTTGGGGCCATTGTGGCCGTCTTGGAGGGAATGCTGACCGTCTTGGAGGTGTCTTAGCAGCCATTCGGCCATTGAAGCCATCTTGGCCGTCTTGAGGACAATCTTGGGCCATCTTGGAGCCGTCTTGGTGCCGTCTTGGGGGCCT